GCAGCCGAACAGTGTGCCGGCACTTAATGCCCCTGAACCGCACACCTAGAGCTAGTGGAGACGGAAATTTCACACTCTGTATCTCTTACCACAACACATTTTAAAGGATTTAAAACACACCCTATTCTGACATTTCCTATTTGAGCGCAAATACAGAGTGTGGCTGAGTGTTTCCCGCTGGTGAACCCTGGGGAGGAGGAGGTGGGTGCCGTCCTACTGGGTCAGCTTTCCTGTCGATTTGAAAATTACTGGAATTAAAAATTGGAGAGAAAGTTGGCTGACTTGGACCACCCCTTTCCCTGCAGCCTCGGTTCTCACGTTCTTTACTTTGACCCCCTTGCCATTAGGAGCCACACATGCCCTGGGCAGGCTTGGGGCAGGACGACCCCTGTGACCAGCATCCTGTCTGGGGCTTGTGTCTGGCTTGCCCAGCATCCCAAACCCTGGCGAGTGGGTTGCGTCGGATCCACGTGTAAACCGGGGTTTGGTCCACAGCTCCTGGCCTGCAGCGAGGTGACAGATGTAACTCTGGGAGGCCTTGCGGGCTCTGCCCCTGTGTGCGCCTGGCCAAGAGCAGCTGCTTTCTTGCTGGACCACATGAAGGTGCCAAGGGAGAAGGTCAGCTGGGCCTGCAGGGCCGGGGGGGGGCCTCATTTTGTCTTGGGTCTGGCTGGCAACTGGAACAATCTGACATTTTCTCTACAGAGTCCCTGGCCTTTCTAATGCCATGAAAGTTGCTGGCGTCAGGGACAGACTCTGTGCTCAGAGCTGTTTCTGCCAGAGTTGGTGGTGGGAGGGGGACTGGGAACAGGAAACACGAGCCCCGTGTGCAGGGCACTGGACCAAGGTGGACGGTTTACATACGTGCCCAGCACTAGCAGCCGCCCACATGTGGAACCACACATGCTGGGAGAGCTTCTAATGGCTCGTTATTTTTTAAGGCGTTGGTAAATTATCAGCTGCCTGAAATAGACAAGTCTTCTGCGGGGATACGGGCTGTTGAGTGACGGCGAGGCACCCTGGGAAGTAATCACCAGTCCTCCGAGGGCCTCTGTGGGAGGCCCTGTCCTGGGGACAGCGTGGGAGGCTGGGCCTATCTTTAGCTGTGGTTACAATTAGTCAGAAGCCTCAGGCTGGCCGGGCCTTCCAAGACCCAGCAGGAGCCTCCCAAGGGCCACAGGGAGACGTGGGCAGAAGATGGGCAGGGAGCAGGGGGCCTGACCCCTGGTGCCGGGCACAAGGGAAATACTGGGTGGGGGTCTGGAGCAGCACCCACCTACAGAAGTGCAGGGAAGCAGAGGTGGCCCGCCTCCCAGCGCTCCGGGTGCCCAGAACGCACCATATGGCTGGCTGGTGTGAATATAAACCAGCCAGGCAGCCAGGATGTGCCTGGAGGGCGTCCCAGCACAGCCTCAGAGAACAGGGGCTTGGTTCTAGAAAACATACTGCCCTAGTCTGTGACAGTGGCTCTCCCAGCAGACGACCTGACACAAGCCCGAAGACAGATCCGGGAGGGAAAGCAGGGAGCCTGCTCGTCACCAACGGGATAAGCTACCACAGTCTGCGGGCACCACGGTCCTCAGCAACACCCCCGCCCCTCCCCCCACGGGCCCTGGCTGGAGAACCGTCTAGAACACTCAAGGCTTTTCAGAGTGGGAGGGATGCACCGTCTGGTGTTGAGGATGGAATGGCGAACACGCCAGGACGCCAGCGTTCTGACCGGTACCCTGAATGTGTCAACAAGCATAAAAATGCTGACTAGCAAGTTACTTGTCCCCAAGGTTTTAGTGCAGGAGCAGTTTAGTGGCAAGGCCTGGAGAGAGACCTGGGCTCAAATCCTTACTTAGTAGCTGTGTGTCCTCAGGTAAATCACTTGCCCTCTCTGGCCCAAATCTCCGCAAATGTAAATACTGGTAATGAGACTGACCTCCGGGAGCTGAGGCAGGATGGAGGGCTGCCACAGTGTGCGCTGGGTGGTGGTGAGAACATGCCAGGCACTTCTGCCTGGACTCCTATGCACCCTGAGGGCTCGCGGCCAGGAAGTGGTGCCAGTGAGGGGGTTGCAGCACACCCCAAACAGAGGGCAGAGCCGGCCTGCTGCCCCACTCCCAGTCTTCCCTGCTCCCGTGCCCCAGCCTGCGCCCCCCCTCCCTCCCTCTGTCCTATCCCAGCAGGCTTGTTAGGCAAACGTTTCTTCTCTTCTGAGGCTGCCATCACTGCAGGCTCTCAGGGGACGCATCTTTGCTGAAGATGTGCCTTTTCTGAACACATTTTCCCCCTCGGCATTGCTATTTTTAACGCTCAGCAGAATGCTGAAAGGGTGACTGAGCCTGACAACAGGCAAGGGGCTAGTTCTCTGCTGAGGATCTGATCCGCCAGCACTGGTCATTCCCACTGCAGCCCAGCCTCCGGGCCGAACAGCCTCCTGCCTGCCTCCGCGTCTTCCCTGCAGGGAAGTTATCAGTGCTGACCTGACCTGTCAGGAACCCGATACACGATGGTGTGAGACCCAGGACGGGATGGGGCCAAGCAGGGAGGGGGGCCTGCAAGCTGCAGGTTCACCCAGACTCCTGTGGTTTTATAAGGCCTTCAGTGAAATTCTGCATTATTTTGAAAAGAACATGAAAAGCTCTGAAATTTGCTACTTTCAAATAAAGACGGTTTGGAATCATCTCATAATCCTCTTTTTTTCCTTCCTCTCTGCCAGTGAACTTCCAGGGGGCAGGCGAACTCCTCGGGCCTGCTCCTGGATGTCCCTCTCAGAGGCTCCCAGGGAGACCCCCACCCCCCAGCACAGCTGCTTCCAAGACCATAGGTGGGACGAGACCCACACTCAAGCCAGAGCGTGATCCCGCTGCGGCGGCTGGAGGAGGCCCTGTCCACATGACCGCCCCCAGCGCCAGGTGATCCTGCACCACCCCGGCCGCGGGAACCAGAACCTACACATCAGGAGGAAGAGCTTCACCTGTAAACACCAGCTGGAAGGAGGCGCCCAAGCAGGACTTTTCCAACAAGGGCTTCAGATCCCAGCTCTGCCCCGACTGGTTGTGCAACCTTGGACAAGCTATTGAACCTCCGAGCCGCAGTTTCCTCATCTGTGAAATGGGGTTAAGCCATCCTCACCCATGCCAGGATTAAACCGAACAGTATACATGTGGTCTTTCTGAGTCCTCACGTTGCATCTTTTCACCATACAGATCTGCCTTTTGGGGTGAAAATCTTTTTTTCTTTACTCAAATACTCTTGACCCTGGTCGGTCAAATCTGGCCCCAAGGTGTGGGTTTGGGAGACACTGTGTTTTTTAAATTAGATGAAGAATCAAACGGAATGTGGATGACTTGGGCACACTGGCTACCCTCTGGTTCCCCTCCGGCCCCACAACTCCTCAGAGCCCCACACGAGCCAGATTCACAAGCAGCTGGCCCTTGGAGGCCTGGGAGTTTTGACCCCTGGTTGTAAATGTTTCTCCTTACACAGTGGGGATGGGTTCCCCTTAAGCAGCCTGCTCTCCACGTGGCTCAGGGGCCAGGAGTCCAAATTCTATCTAGAAGCCAGAGTTTGACTGCTCAAGCCCTAGGGGAGCGGGGAGCCCACTGGGATGCCCAGCACCCGCTCCACTTCCCAGGGTCTGCAGGGAGCCAGTGGCTCTGTGATTCCTGGCTCCCAAGGCAACATGGGATGAAGGCAGGACAGGGCAGTTGCTTCCTTAACCCAAGGAGAACTGAAGGATGGCTGCCTATCTGCGGCCGGAAGCCCATGGCGGTGGGGTGGGTCGCCCCTCAACAGAGCAGGCCAGGGACCCACCCATCTCCACTCTCAGGCTAGTCCCACCAGCAGGTGACCCCAGGCTTGTGTCCTGAGGAGCCTGGGTCTGCTCACCTGCAACCCAGGGCAGCCACGAGTGGATGAGGACGCGACACTAGCCTGGTACAGAGCATGAGGGTCCCACCACTCAAGGGGAGGTGGGTTGGTTCACTGAGCGGCACCTTAACAGACCGACCCCCAGCCACTGGGGCCTCGGACTCTGTGTGACCCCAGTGCCTCAGGCACACGAGGTCTGTGCCGACCCTGGTGCCTGGTCCCAGAGGCAGAGATGGACGGTGGCACACCCCCAGTGTGTCTCTCTCAAGGCTACCTTGCCCTGCTTTCTGGCATCTTGGGGCTGGTTTGCTCTTACAGAGGACAGTGGATCCTGGGAGAGGGGGCTGGGGGGGTTGGTGAGGTGCCTCGTGATCTGACCTCAGCTCACCCTCTACCCTGCGGTCAAACTGAATCACTGGCTGTCCTGCAAATGGGCTCTCCGTGCCAGGGTCTTCACCCATGCTGTTTCCTCCACCGGGAACCCTCTTCCTCTCACCCTCTCCAGCTCCTAAGCCCTGGACATACGGCGTTAGCCTGGCCTGAACCCATTCTTCTGTCCTCTGCTGCCCTATCCCAATACCTCCCCCACCTCCGTACTTCCCCCCCCCACCCCCAGAACTGCCCTTCTCTGCTCTCAGGCCATGAGGTTGGGTAGAGCTGACACTGCCCCCTTTCCTGGATGAATACCCAGGCTTGGACCATCAGCCTTGAGGCTTCTTGGGAATGAGGCCAAACTAGGGGATGGGAGAAGTGGGGAGAGACAGATGGTGAACAGGACTCTGAACCCCTGGGTCCAGCCATGCCTGAAGCCCTTCGTTACACACTCACCAACAAATCCCTCTTTTTGTTTAAATCGCCTTGACTTGGGTTTCTGCCACCTACAACCAAAGGAACTGTGGCTGATACACACGAGCCTCATCTGGTCAGCTCCTCTGCACACCCGGGCACTGCTCAGGCAGCACCGCCCGGCCCTTCTCACCCAATCCTGAAGCCACATCTGTGTGTCCTCATCACTGCGCAGGGCCTCGGCAGAATGGTGGTAAAAGGCCGTGGCAGAGATGAACCCCAATTTCCCATGCAGGCTACTGCCTTCACTCAGTCATCAGCCCCCAACTGCTCACGTTTTCAGAAAGACTCACCTCTGCCTTATTTCGCGAGAGCATGCTGGAGTCGATCGGGCCCAGGGACATGTTTGGCAGGACAAGGTTGAGAACTTTCGCAGCAAGGACCTAGGTGGGAGGGGAGACGAGGTGAGTGCGATGGGACCCCGCTCAGCTCTGCCCACGGGGCAGCTTACAGTCGATTAAGGAGGATGACGCCTGGACGGACACTGGCCAGGCTTGTTCCCGGGCTGGGCAGCCAAGGACTCTCCCGCTCTGACAGACAGCTCCCTGGCCTGGCTCCCTCCACTGCTGGTGAGCCAGGCGGGAGGCAGCTGCCCTGGGGCCGCGGACCCCACACCTATTTTTTGCAGCTCCCAATTCCATGTTGGCCCCCCACCCCCACAATCACACGTGGGTTGTGATTCTGAATTATTGCAGGAGCCACTTAGCTGAGTGCTTGTGCACAAGCCGCTTCTCAGGATTCTCAAAAGACAGCAGGAGCAGAAGCACCCAGGCACCTGAGGGGGAGGCAGGACCTGCCCTGATCAGGAAGAATTTGTGATCGTCTGGGGAAGCAGAAACCGTCACCAGGCTGATTAGGTGTGGGGCAGAGGGAGAGGCCCATCTGGGTCCTGGCTGGGCTGCCCCAGGCACAGGGACACAGATCTGGACCCCACTGGGTCTGTTCCCTCAGCTGCCAACAGGACCATTGTGTCCAAAGGTACCGATACACAGTAGTGCTTAATATCCGCTCCTTGAACGTGACCCTGATCAGGTGCAGACCCTCCCACCCGCTCCTCCTGCTGATCTGGTGTTTACCCAGGAAAAGCGTGAACCTGATCTCACACTTGTGCCTGCAGAGGGGTCTGTTCTGTTTCTGTGCTGTGCAGACACCCGGGATGAAAGATGCTATTTCAAACACGAGCTGCGAAAGGCTGAAATTAGAATCACATGGAAGGTGTCGAGCAGTGGACTCTCGGTCTGTGCCGAGGGCGTATCACAGAGCTGAGAACTGCTGTCCCCTCAGCCCCTTGCCACATCGACCCAGGAACAACCTTGGGTATGCTGGGCACAGTCCTAGGTGCCCAGTCTCCTGACCTTGACACAAACGCCATGCAGTGAGGTTCTATCCTCACTCAACAGACGAGAGAACAGGCTCCCGGTGACGGCGGCGGCTGGCTGAGGGCAGACTTCTGGGATGAAGCCACTCTCTCCCTTCGTGCCATCAGCCTCTGTTAACCCTCTTCTCCCTACGAATGTGACTGAGAGCCGAACCTCGCCTGAGGACAATCAAAACCAGCAGCCCAGGTGTCCCCCCTGGCGACATCACTGCTGCACCCCAGCCCCTTTACCACGTCCTCTCACGTCTGCCGGCACATGCCTGATGCGACCCCCCATCACAGCTGGTTCTCAGATGGCCGAGTATCCGGCGGGCTTTGTTCCTAAAAGATCACTAGGGTGTGAATCTGTCCTGAGACCCACATGGTTCAAGGATGGCACCCTGGCCAGCAAGACCACTGCAGCTCACTGCACCCAAGCTCAGCGTCCAGACCAGCAAACCTCACGTGTCCACGGATGTGCCTGGCACTCTGCCAACACAGCGTAGAAGCCTGTGGCACCCCAGCTTGGAACTCTGTGCTAGGGCCGGGCTGTGATCTGCTGGCAGGTTCAGGACTCAAGGTGGGGTGTGGGCAGCTCCACGGGCAAGCTCGAGCCTGGAGGGCTGGGGATTCCGGGAGTTCTATGGAAGAGGAGGATCTGGGTGTTTCCAAACACAGAGTAAAGGTCTGGGAACTCCAGGATCTGGGGGCTCCTCTGGGAACCTAATTCAGGAGTTGGGAGCTGTGCGTCCATAGGGTAAAAATGCATAAACAACAAGGAAGCACAGGTAAGAAGCGCTCTGCGCTGCAGAGAGGCCATGGACCCAGGGCCTGGCCCCACCAGCCTCGCTTCCGCCACGGCAGGGTTGCAGGGCTTGTCCCCTCCAACGAGAGGCCCAAGGGCTAAGTTGTCAGGGAACCCCGATGCGGCTCAACTTCGCAGAGCCTACCCCCAGCACCCTGCTGCTCTCCCGAAGGTCGTGGGGGCTATCGGCTGACTCCGCCTGCCACCCTGCCATGCCCAGGGACCGCGGGATGCCGCGCATGATGAAACAGACCACGCGGTCCAGCCTGGCCCGTCTGCTGGCCTCGCCCAGCACGGCGCCCCGAAGGACACAGCTGTTTTCAGCAAGCAGCTTTCTATCCGCTCACTATTAGAGGCTGACAGCCAGGAAGAGGCCCAGGGACACACCGCTAGGGCCCTCACCCCGCTGCCAATGTGAGGGACAGAGACCACATGGCACCCACGCCATTTCTCACAAGCCTGCCACTAACAAGGTATGTTCCACTGCCCACATCACCAATTCTGCGTGGACCTGGGCACAGCCACCAGCCACCTGTGAAGGGCCAGACTTACTTTCACCCTTGCGTCTCTGCTCCTACCACAGGTACCTCTTAACCAAAACACTCACACCCCAAATTGCCAAGGCATCTGCGTTTTTGCTAAGCTTCCCAGGTGATTCCAAGATGCAGCTGGGGTAGAGGGCGTGTCTCTGACCCCCACAGGTTGGGACCAGGGACACAAACACATGACGTGCGAGCCGCCCTTTTGCAGGAGCCACAGGGAGAGATGTTTGCACCACTCTGACCTTCAGCTCTTTTTCTAAACTGGCACAGTAAGTTCCAACTACCTTTCTAACAAGATTCTCAACTGGGTAGAGGTAAACCTTTGATGACAATAATGTCACAGCAAAAGAAAAAAGATAAGGTGCTTCTTATCCTCTTCCCCACCAAGCCCAGGAAAGGGAAAGAGCCGTCACATGGGGACGGGCTCTCTGAGCGGCTGCTCAAGATACTCACTTTCCCTGCTGCGCTTCAGAGTTTATTCCTTCAGCCCAATGAAGTAAACTGATGGCCAATGAAGGAGAAGAAAGAACTAAGCAGACGGGGTGGGCTGACTGTGGCGACAAAGGAAGATGAGGTGGAGGAGGGTCCTGAGGTCATGCAGTGAGGAAGCAGCGGGCCGGAGAGAGCTAGGCACGCCCTACACCAGAAAGATCAATCTGTCCAGGCTGCCCGACACCACCTTCCCCGGCCTCCTTCAACTGCCAGGGCCCCACACCTAATTCCACAGGGAGACAGAAGCGGCAGAGGTGTGAGGGGACGTGGCTCACCCAAAAACGACGTGGAATCCGAGATATTACGGTTCTTGATGTCATTTCGACCAAGTGTCCCAAACTCTTCAGACAGCCCTGTGAGAGCGTGGAAAGAGCCCCAGATCCAGCTCAGGAGAGGGGCGACCCTGGATGGGCCTCTGAGGGAGAGACCCCCCCATCCATCGTGACCCTAGTAGGCAAAGTCAAGTTTGTACAACCAGAGCTGACGCTAACTCCACAGGGACCCCAGACCCACGACAATCAGACACACCGTCACTGGAAAAGAGAGGCAATGAGGTGGAAGAATCTGTCTCGGGGACTCAGAGCCTGGCAAACTTGGGTTCGGACCTTGGTTCTGAATCTCTGAGAAAGCATGTGGTCCTCAGTTTCTCCATCTGTAAAATGGGGATTTTGAAATGAAGTGGAAAAGCTGCTGGCAGCTGCATGAGATCAAAGTCCACAGAGCTCGTCCCCAACTGCCCTTGTGGTTTCTGGCCCTGAGGAGAAGCCCCGGTCGGCCCCAGTCCGAGTGGAGACTCCAAGAAGGAGGGGACCTGAGCTCAGCGGCAAATGTCACGTCACAGCTGGACCTGGACCACCCCACCCAGGATGAAGGAGGACAACTCTCCAGGAAGGGAGGTCCCCTCCTGCAGAGCATCAGGGAAGCAAGCCACTGATGGCAGCCCCATCACTTTAAGTACCAGTGACTTGCGTAAGTCCCTTTATTGACCCGAGAGGTTTTAACGGCTCCTGAAGATCCTTTCAAGCTTCTGCCCCTTGGCAGACTTGACACAGGAAGGTAATTGCAATCACTCTCCCCTGGAGCGCCCCAGCAAGCCAGCCTGGGCCCAGGAGAGCACAGCTGCATGTGGTGCGCGGCAGGACACAGCCCCGGGCTCCGCTGGGCAAGGAGGGCACCCCCACGCAGACAGAAGAGGAAGTTCGCGTGCCTTACAGAGGAGACAACGCCCCTCAGAGCATTGCTGCTGCCAAACCCCGGGGCCGGTTCATGGTCACAGCTGAGTCCCAGCTCCCCAGGCCTCTCCCGTCTCCACCCTGTTCCAAGGCCTCCCAGAGTCTGGTGACTAAACAGCCGAGTGACAGGTGGGAGGCGCTAGCATTGAGGGCAGCTGACCCAGGGCAGCTTCGGGCAAAGGGGGTGTCCTTCTGGAGCACACGCTGGTCTTGAGGGAGACAGTAGGCCTCACCTCGTCTATAAATTGGAAACAACCTTCCTTCCTCACAGGGCGGTGACGGAGAGGAAGTAAGACTTTGTGTCTGGCATGAGTAGGGGGTTCACAGCAGCCCCTCGCGGCTTCCCTCACCTGGCCAGGTGAGGGGTTGACGGGTCGGTGTGGGAGAAGCATCTGGAAGCACCGGGCTGGCCTGGCTCCTGCATCACAGACCTCAGGCCCCAGGGGACAACCTCCAGGCAACAGGCAGAGAAGGTCGTTTAGTAGATTACCCTCCTGGCAGGCTGAGCCCTGCCCTGACCCTAGGCAGAAATCCAGGGGGACTGGGGGTTTTGCCCCAGAGAAGGGAGTTGCTCTGTCCTCCTAGGGAAGGGTCCCTCAGTGTGCAACACCTACTGGGCAGCAAGGGGTCCACTCCACTGCTGCCTTGCCCAGGGCACAGGACGTGGGACAGGCCCTGGAAAGGGCCTCGTTAACAGCAGAGATTTGTTCTGAGACACTAGATTTCTGCTTCTAAATTCCTCCTGCTCCAAACACCTCCTGAGTACAGCGTTGAGGGCCTCTGCCCCCTCGTCTCCTGCCCAGACTAAATACACCCCAGCTTGTTGACCACGGAGCACCAAGCAAGAGCTGGGGTGGGGATCTGGCTTTGGGGCGGGGGGCTGCCATCTTCCACATGCCTGGCTGTGCTCCAGGGCTCAGGTGTCTCACGCTGCCGGCTTTAATGATTTTGGAATCCCTCCCTCAGGAACTTGCTGCTGGGAAACAAACCCCTGACCTGTCAAAGAGCCATGCTCTTGGAGAGAGGTCACAAGGTCATGACTCAGCTCCACTCTCTGCTCCTCAAAAGTGAGACTTGACTGGGGAGGACCCCTCCACCACCACCTCAGCCAGAGGGGGTCTCTAGGAATCTGTCCTTTGGGGTCCGTAAGAGGGAACAACTGGAAAGACCCAAAGGTCAGTCAGCGGGGCCTCACCTGACCCAGGGCCACCACTGCAGGGACCCTCACCTGACCCAGAACCATCCCTGCAGGGGCCTCACCTGACCCAGAATCATCCCTGCAGGGGCCTCCACTGACACAGATCCATCCCTGCAGGGGCCTCACCTGACCCAGAACCATCCCTGCAGGGGCCTCACCTGACCCAGGTGAGGACGGAGCACCAAGAGGTATCACTAAGCAAAAAGACCAAATAAACCCTAACCCACAGAAACAAACAGGCCAACCAAAAGAACCACCAGGAAGCACAGAGAGAGTTTCTACCACGTGAGACACAGGTGTGTGCACCTGTGGAGACGCAGACTAACTGCTGCCCACTTCCACCGGGAGGAGTCTGCACTGCACCCCCTCTCCCTCTTTTGAGCCCTATAAATGTATTATTCTAAAAATGTTCAATTAAGTTTTAAATAAAGATTCTGTGAGACCCATTCAGAAGGTTGTCAGGCAAGACTTCACATGTGGTGGGGAACCCAGACGTCTGCTGCGGGCAAATGATCACAGAGTCTGTCAGAGGAAACTGCTCCAGATCCAGGGCGGCAACGGCTCTCACCGTGGGGAGGACGTGTCCTCAGGTCTGGGGGCAACAGGAAACCTAATTTTTCTTGGTTAACAAGAGGAGGCCTGCACCCCCCGGGAAAGCTGGCTCCTGGTTTGACAAGGCACTCTATCAGCAGGAGGCTTCGAAAGGCCGTGCTGGTGGCTCTGCCCAGAAGCCCCACCTCCGCCCCGGGGACTCAGGGGGTTGAGGGGTGATTCACAGGCTCCACCTCAGGGCCCAGCCGCCCCAGGCCCCTCGTGTACTTTATCTGAAAAGTCCCACAGTCCTGGGCTTTTCTCTCAGGGAAAACACCAGCTGCAGAAAACGTCCGCTTTCTTCCCTTGGGAAACGCCATCGATGGGGCGTGCACCGCCCCAGATTCACATCCAGCACGCAAAGCGTGTCCTTTCCAAGCCTCAGGGGTCCTGACCATAAAATGTGGGTCATGACCTCTCCCAGGGGTGAGGATGAAGCCAAGGAAGATAATGCAGGTGTGAACACCACACGTGCCCGGCACCCCAGGGCAGAACAAATCTTCCCCGATCCAAGCACACGGGAACTCTCCTCTGCTCTGAGATCTCGCCTTGTTTATTCCACTCAGACAAGATCTGGCCTCACGCGATACAATCGCAGCCATGAGGGGAGCCATCCAGGAGGCCGGGCTCCCAGGCCCTTCTCAGGGACTAGGAAGTCGCCCAGAGCACTACTGGGGGTTCCGTGAATGAACTTACTTTTCCATGACAGAAGCGGGGGTCACTGCGGCCACTGCTGCCAACGCAGCAATGAAGTTTATCAATGGTAGTCGATTTCAGAAAGTCAGTGGTGGTTTCCTTAAAATGGAGTAAAATTCAAAGGAGCTGGCCATGTCTCCTCTTCAGCATATTAAGTAAACCATTGTTCTTTGATTAAACTATCAGACAGTTTGAAGCCACACAGAGGACCTGCCTGCCTGCCTCCAGGGCGGGGATTAAATCTGTGGCTGTGGGCTGGAAGGGACACTGGAGAACGTTTCTATAAGGTTTCAGCCCAACACTGTGTCCCACTGTCTGGGTGGTCAGGAGAGCTCCGGAGGCATCAGAGGACAGGCGGCTCGCGGACGGTGCGGCTGGGGTGCCGGGGTGCCGCCCAGACCCTGGGCTCATGGCCCACCACCAAGAACTGGCTCAGGAGGCAGCAGTCCTCGCCCAGCGCTGGGGAGAGACTGACCATCCCTTGGGGAGACGCGGGGCCGGGACCCTCCCGGGACCCTCCCCCCCGCACTGGGTTCTGTGTCTCTAAAACCTCAGGTCCACAACGTGTCCACAACCCATACCCACAATCCGGCAGCCCTGCTGAAGCCACAAGCCTCATCTCCTTCCTTGGGGGAGAAGGCACCTGTTCCCTCATCCTAGCAGCTCGAAGCCCCAGATGAAAGCACGAACCACTGGGTGCCCCACCGGGGAACTCTGCAGCCAGAAAAACGAAGCGATGGGTTCGTCAGAATCAGAGGGAAAGTGCTTGGGGACGGAGGAAGCCACAGTGAGGACGAGGGACCCATCGCATTGCGAGCTCTGTCCACCTGTCCACTCACTGTGCACCGTGATCGAGGCTGACAAGCAGTCCATGGAAACCAGTGTGAGCCTGGCATGTGCCCTGGTAACAGAAGGCCCTCACTCGGTTCCTAACATGCGTAACTTTTCCTCCTTTCACTGTTCACCAGCAAAACACGCACAAACAGGAAGCCACTTTTCTTTTGTCTTTGAGGGGAAAACACACCCTTAGCTTGAGAAACAATAGAATTCCCGGGACAACAGTGTTTGCTCCTTGCCCAAATCTCGTGACAATAGCACGAGAAGCCCCTCCCCCCCC